TTCATTTTAAACTATATATATATATATATAGTCTCTCAGCTGAGTATATTTAACAAAAATACTTTAACTTTAAACAGCTGTATCTCAAAACTGTGAAAATGTCACTTGTACCCCTTGGCTTCTGATCATTTAAACTTATATAAGCAGAGTAAATACTTTTATGATAACATTATTTTGAAAAAAAAAAGCAGAATTAAATATAAACAATTAAAAACACAGTAAAATATTTACAAAAGAAAAATAACAATAACCAAAAACAATTTATTATGGCAACACTTAAAGAATATTTTGCGAAAATTTCAACACTTGAAAAAAAATTTAAAAAGTTAAAATCAGAAAAAGACGCTTTTTGAAAATATGGATCAAAAGAAGTCATTATAAAAATAAGTCAAAAGACTAAAGAAAGTAGCTCACTCTTTGAACCTGCTGATAAGAATGATAAAGAAACCAGTCGGAATAGGGTGATAAAACATTGGTCAGCTCTATCAAGAAAACATCAGTTAAGAAGATCACAAAAGCTATAGGAAATTGTGCAGTTATATAATTAGTTCCATATAATATATGTATATATATATATATATATATATATATATATATATATATATATATATATATATATATATATATATATATATATATATATATATATATATATATATATATATATATATATATATATATATATATATATATGTATATATGCGTATATGTCTGTATACATATAAGTATATGTGTGTATACACACATATACTTATATGTATACAGACATATAGCAGTTAATAATTTTCCATTATTGGAAAATTACAGACATATAGCAGTTAATAATTTTCCATTATTAACTGCTATGTGTCTTTAATAATCAATATCTGCTTATTTCAAATGCTTAATAAAATATATTATTTTGTTCCTTATTGAAATAAGCCGATCTTTTAAATAACAGTTTTTCATTTAAAAGATCAGCTTATTTCTGTTTTTAAGTTTTTATTAAAAAATTAAAAAGTTAACTAAAATTTGAACACACTTTGTAACACCATCTAAACCATCTAGTCTATTTAACAAAACATTTTCAATCATTCAATGTTTCAATTAATTTTATGGAGTAAAAATAATATTAGAAGTAATTTCATTTACAGTGGCTTTTTTCTATTATGATTTATGATTTTTCTATAACTATTTATGATTTTTATTTGTTTTTTCTATATTTAAAACAAAATATTTTTTTGTTTATAACAAAATAGATTTAAACAAATTTTAGACAAAATTTTATTTTAATTTTTTTTTTTCAGTTTCTTTTTTTAAATTTCTTTCAGTTTTCTTATTTCTTTTTTTCTTCTTAATATTTTTATAAAATCTTTATTGCTTTTGCTATTATTATTTTTAATTTTATTACTGCTATTTGTATTATTACTATTAATATTATAATTATAATAAATGCAATCAGTTTTGCAACTACTTTTGCTCTACAAATAAATAAAGTTAATATTGGTGTGATCATTTTTTAATTTAATGTTATTAATATATTTATTTGGTATCACTCCTTTGATCAGGTTTCTGCATTATTAAATCTTTCTTTGTCAATCAATTATTTTTATTTATTCTTAATAAACGTAATATGACTTAAGTATTTATAATATTATAAATATTTTTGATATTTTTATTTTTATTATTATTATTATTATTATTGTTATTCTTCATCTTCTTCTTATTTTTATTAATAATATACTATTTTAATTATATGATTGTAAACTTTGAGGAAATAATTATCTTATTATTGTTATTGTTGTTGTTGTTGCTGCTGCTGTTGTTATTGTTGTTGATGTTGTTGTTGTTGTTGTTGTTGTTATTGTTGTTGTTGTTGTGGTTGTTGTTGTTGTTTTGTTGTCTTTTCTTAACTATTTAAGGTTGGAGGGTGAAAAATTCTAGTGTTTAATGAAATATACAATTAAAATACTTTATGTAGGGTTCATTATTATAAAAACACATTTTTTGAATATATCAAGGCCATGGTTACGATGAAAACTGAAGTGGTACTAATAGGTCCCGTCAGGCAATAAAAACTCTTTTTTTAAAAAAGTTTCAATTAAACAAAGAAAAACAAAATGTTTGTTATTAAATACATTTAATTTATATAAATGTTATATTTAAAAAAACGATTTTTTCATTCATGCGCTAAGAAGCATTATCGGTTGGACACGGAAAAATCAGGTCAACTTTAAAATGAGATTTCTCTAAAACCTTTTATGCTTTTTGTTTCAATTTTTTAATTATTATATGTGTTTACATAAACTAGAGATTTAACCTAATTTTAAGGGGCTTGATGGGCTGTTTGGCAAGAGATCAAATTTTATAGCGGGTTGATGCCATCATTTCGTAGATTTTTTCTTTTTTCACCTTATTGGTGGCATTAATCGACTTTTTTTGAAAGTCTTTTTTGTTATATGTTACTCCTCTTGTCTAACGAAGAACTCCTTTAACTATTGCCCAAAAATCTTCAACCTTGCGCTTTTCAGGACGATTTGGAGGATTCGCATCTTTAGGAACAACTTTCACATTATGACCTGTACACCACTGTAGAACCTTTTTAGATTAGTGAGAGGCAACAGAAAGAGACATCAATACTTATGTTTTTTCATAAATGACAAAAGTCTTTTTTGGAGGCATTCTTTGATAAAGACATTGGCAGTCAATGTCTTTTTAGTGGCAAAACAAGAGGACTGTATATCACAGCTACAAATTGCTTGCTACACCAGGAACTTGAATGCAAACTACTATATAAAAAAATTTTTTTGAGACGTTCTGAACTCTCAATTTATTATCTAGAAGATATCACATTTATTATCACATTTGTGGAACTCATTTCTCACAAATGAGATTAAAACGATAAACTCTGTTCAGCATTTTATATGCGTTGTTACACAATAGTTACTTGACTTCATCATTGTTGAAACAATGTCTTATTTTTAAAAAACTCTTACACGTCATGAAATTTTTTATATTACACAGTAGCTGGAAATACTTAGCTTATATTTATAAAAAAGCATTTAATTGTATTTATATTTATAAACATTTATTGGCTATTTTATTCATACGATTTTTTATATTTATAAATATTTAAATATCTTTTAACTTGTGTTCATCTTAAATTTAATTAATATTTATTGTAAAATAAAAAGAAACTAACGGGCCAAGACTGGAGAAAGCAGAAGACCATTGTCTTCTGCATTCTCCAGTCATATTATTACGTTAACATTTTAGTAAAAAAAAAGCATTTTATATTGACAAAAAAGATTTAAAAAAAAAAAAAAAAAAAAAAAACCTATGGATTTTTGCAAAAAAATTTACAACTTTTTTACGCGCCTCAATTTTTTTCCGAAACATTATGGAAATCATTAATTTGTAAACAAAAGATTTTCAACATTTAAGATAAGGAAGTAACGTTTAATTAACAAATATTGAAATAAAAAGCATTTGTGGTTTTAGAGAAATCTTAATTTAATGTTGACCGGATTTTTCCGTGTCAACCCGATACAAGTGGTGCATTTAAAATGTATTCTTGACTAAATCATTACTTTTGAGCATACATCAAATCATTTGGTAACTCCTTCCAGCGCCTATCATTATCAATATCCTATTCCATTTTGGAACTTATTTAATTATTTTCAATGCCAGTATCATTATGAATTAACTCATTATCTAAATAAAATATATAGTTTCATCAGCCTGTTCATTAATAATTCTATTAGTAATAACATCACGTTTATTTAGGGAATCAAATTCAAACTATTCAGTTTCACTGATATACCAGGGAGTATGATCTTGAAAAATTCTTTGAACAGCTCATAAAGCACTGTATTGAACCTTACAACTCATATTTGTTATAGTTATAAACAAAAAACGTATAAACCGTAATGTTTTACGGGACTTATTGGTCCCTATTTAATTTTCATAACAAAGTATTGTATGCCAACCATTTTAACACTTTAACTGAACTTTAAATGTTTAGTAACACATTAAAAAGCTCTAAACAAATTTGAAGCACAAATAAAAGTAAAGATCAATATAATAGGTTTGCTTCTACAAAATAATTAGGCCTAATTTTCTCTAAAACCATCATTAAACTTCTCATCGAAGATAAAAAAATTAATGATGACAAACAATTAACTGCAATTTTAAAACATGTCTAAAAACCAAGTGAAAATTTTTGCAATGTTTTTACAAATAAAAAAAAAAAAAAAACTAGTTTAAGAGAAAGTCAGTAGTTAATGCACTGGAATAAATAAGTCCTGTCAGTTCGTAAACGGTTAAACTTAACTATTAACTTCCATTGAAAATAGAAGTTAATAGTTAAGTTTATTCCATCAATTGAAAAATAAGAAATTGAATAAATACTTTTAACATTAAAAATGTTTTAAACAACAACGTAATGTTCAGAAGTTAAATAAACCCGTTTTCTTTCCAAAATGTCTTTTTGTTCAAAAGCGTGTTTTTTATAAAAGTGTGTATTCAAAATCAATTAGAAACCGGAACACTTTTTAGTTTTTAGTCTTTAAATGTAGAATTTTCTAAATTAACAAATATGAATTAGTTCTGACAAGCAACCCACATTGAATATACTATATATAGTATAAGTATACTATATTGTATAGTATGCTATATAGAGTACAAAGTTTTTTGGCATACGGGATTCATATGCCACAAACCCCATTTTGGGTTTGTTGCATTTGAATTCCATGCATAAATATCCATACGGGTTTGATGTCACAAATTTCCATAAACTAATCGCATAGAAAAATCTATCCTAAATAAATCCCATTAATCCCACACGAATCCCATATGGATTACATGGGGAACAAGGTTTATGTAAATATTTGTTTCAGTATAAGCTAAACTTTTGAGCTTGAAAAACTGTTGGTTATTGAAAACATTGTAATTATCTGAATAATCTTTATTAATTTTTAATTTATTGCAGTTTTGTATATAAATACTTTTCAACCACTCAGGTAAACATTATTCAAACAAATCTAGAAAGCTGTTTAGAAGCAAATGATTTCAATGCATCGGCGAACCTTCTTCAACTTTCTAAGATTATTTGTACGAAATTTAATGGTCATGAAAATTTGGAAATGCAAATCACCTCTGTTTATGAAAATAATAAAGTTTCAGTCATTTCAAAGTTAAAAAAGTTGTCGGAAAGTTGTGAACACTATTTTGCACAGCAATACTTAAGTAATGACGATTTGCTTGTAATTAATGGTTGCCTCCAAGTTTTAGAGAACGCTAAACACATTAACTTGCTGTGCGAACATATTACCGAAAAAGAAATAGACAAATACTATGAAACCTTTTTGAGCAAAATAATTAAATTGTTTGAGAATTTAAACAATGAAATCATCTATCTTTTTAAAAACGAAAGGTTTAAAGAAATGGAAGAAGTCTGTAAGCAAATGCAATCGGTGCGCCGAATAAGAATTGTTGAGCAACGAACTGCAGAAATATACTATTCGACCAACCAAAGTATTACTGCTTACATAAAAAACTTAAGTGATGACACAGAAAAACTACTAAATAATATTAACAATGGTGCCGTTGATTACAACAAGATATTTTCAAATTTCAAAAATCTTAAAGATGCTGAGTGGTTGAACAATCATAAATGCGGCTATTATGAAAACGTCATTAAAAACATTCAAAGCAGTTTGACAGAACGAGCTATCACTTTATATGAGACATTAGTTGAAACTAATTTGGATTTAGAGAACTACTCAGAGCTTGAAAAAATAGACAAAATTCTGCAGCAGTTTGACGGATTAAAAAAATTTCAGACGAATATCCCAGAAATTCAAAAATACCGTGATCAGTCCTTTGAATATTTTAACAGTTCTGTTGAAAAAAGTTTTTTGGCTATCAAGAATGTCTTTTCTTTAGAAAAACATAGTCTGAATCACTTAAAAAAAAGAAAAGCAAAACTTGTAGTAGTTAAAAATGAATATCAATTAATGCAGCCAAATTTTTTATACTTGAAAAGTGAGAAGTTCAATTCATTAGAAAATGTAGATCAGAAAATTATGGAACTGACAAAAAATATTAATGAGGCTGAGAAAAACAGAGAACAAAGAAAGTTAAATCAAAAGTGGTATACTAACATTCTAAATGAGTATAGCGAAAGTGCAAAAGAACCTAATCCTGACAAAAGTAAAAAAGTTTTACACTCATATAATTTTGGAAGCATTGAGGACCTTTTTAATAATGAAATTGAAAACAAAAATAAAATATTTGAATTAAAAAGTATAATTGAGCAAAGTACGTACGAAATTGAGCATCTTGGGATGGTGAAATCAAAGTTTATTGAAATGTCAAGTAAAAATCTAACCTCCAACGAAGCTAATGAGTATATTTTAAAAACAAAGCACAAAAGTATTGAAACCTTAAACTACAAAATAAACAAGCTTGATAGTAAAATTAATGATGCTGAATCAAATGGTATTGAGTTTCTTTTTGAGTCTATAGACAACAACAAAGCTGAAGCTGCGTTAAATTATTTAAATTATTGTATTTCAATTAAATTTCTCAACAAAAAAGCAACCAGGAGTAAACTAGAATTAGAAATGTTTTTAAATAAATACAGAGAATTTTTAGTATCTGAAATGAACAGTTGTTTAAATCAAATACAGACCCTTACATTTGCAAATTCTTTTTTAATTCACGAATTAACACAGAAAATTAGGTTTAGACTTGATGATTGCAATAACATTCAAAACTTTACACTTTTAAACGGTTTGATGCAGAGTCAGCACATAAAAAAAGATATAGTTGAAAGGCTATCAAACTATTATTTAATTTTAGATGAACCTGGTAACAACGAAACTTTGAAAACGGAAGTTGTTAAAGCTTTTATTCAACTTGACAAATATTCTGAAAATGTCAAGTTTTATCAACTGTTTTGTGACTACAACAAAAATAAAATAAAAGAGTTAGATGATTTTGAAAAAAATATAATAGAATGTATTGAAAACAACAAGTTTAATGAAGTGGCTATGAAACTATTTGATGTTGATGAAAAAGTTTTAAAAAATAATACAATTTACAAAATAAAAACTAATTTGGCTAACTCAATAAACAAAATAATAGTTAAAGCTAAACACATGTTGAGAGCATTGGGAAACAGCCTGGATAAAAACGAGATTGAGAAGGCAATAAAACAATTATCAAAGTTAGACCAAGCTAAAAAATGCTTGTACGGCAATCTTTCCCTTACAGAAAAGTTTAAACTAAATAGCTACATAGACAAAAACACTCAAGACGAGCTTAACAATTGTTTGATTTTTATTCACGAGACAATTTCCAAAAAAGTTTCAAAATACATGATCAAAATAAATTTTCATATTAGTAATAACGAATTTTACGAAGCCGAGACAAAAAGAGAACATTTATACCACACTTACAACTTGCTCGAAAACCATTACAATTCTGTTGAAATAAATGATAAAATAGAGGTCATGCAAGAAAACCTTGAAGAAAAAATTTACGCAATTACGAAAAAGTATGTAAATATGTCAATAAACGATTACTTTCAGAACTCACCAAAGTCAATAATTAACGAGTTAGAAAAACTAGTCAAGCTTACTAGCAACGAAAAGTATGACGAATCATTAAATAAAATTAAAGAAGCAATTAGAAGTCAAATGCAAAATGTTTTCCTTAGTGTTAAAGATGCAAAACCCGAAGAGCGCGGTGAAAGCATGGAAGTTTTAAAATCAACTCTTAATTTATTACCTGAAGATTTGAAACCATGGGTAGAAGCCGAAAAAGAAAAACTTATAAAATATATAGAGCAAGAAAACAAAGTTTACGAAGATGAATTTATAAGAATTAAGAGCATTTCGGACGTAAAACTAATTTATAATTTTATGGAAAAATGTAGACATAACGGGATGGAAGGATACGTCCGTTTAATACAAAACATGGTAATTGATCGTGTTGACGAATGCAAAGGCAGCTTATTGAAATACTTGGATGAAAATGATGTCAATAAGGCTTTGCAAATGTTCAACAAATGTTTGGAGTTCATTCAAGTATTTGGCGAAACATTAGTTGAACTAAATAGAATATTTTTATTAATAGAATCTAGTTTAACGAGCAGGTTTAATAACATGTGCTCAATTTTTACAGACATTTCAAGTAACCGTAACTTTGAATATACAATAAGTTGTTTTCATAATTTAAACTATTTTAATGAAATAGAAACGCTGAACCATCAAAAGTTTCCGAGCTTGACAAATTTAAGCGGATTCATCAGCAGTATAATCCATGGGCTGGGCAGATCATATGAAAATATTGTAAATTTCTTTTTTGATTATCAAACAAAGTATCAAAGCTCTCTTAATGAGTTTAACATTACAAAGATAAATGAATCAATGACTGTTTATCAAAATTGGAGCCCTCTATTAGATGCAGCTATACATCACTTTAAGATCAATCCAGAAAATGCTATTGTTCAAAAATACTTGTCAAAAATTGAATCCTGCAGTGGCTATTACCAAATAAAGGATAATCTATCAATAAAACTTAAATCCTTGAAACTTCAAATACACAACATCGAGCCTCTTAAAGCTAATAACAACGAACGAGATCTTTTTTACCAAGATTATGTTAAAAATATTTCATTTTTATACCATTCAAAAGAACTGAAAAATCATATAAACTGTGATACATTTAATCCAAGTTCTTACGAAAATGATGTATATCCTTTCTTAACAAATTTCTTTTCTAAATTATCCGAATCCACTAAAAATATCTTTGGTGAAGACGCATCTGACAAGACTTTGCGAGAATTTGATTTGTTTCGACTTAACTTAGAAAACATTAAATCGTTTGATCTGCACGCAAAATCCGTTGGACTAAATTTCAACTTCTCAATACTAGTGCAAGAAATCACAGATAAATTCGAGAGCACACTAAACTACTTTTTTGCAATGGTTCAAAGATGTGAAAGTGATGTTAATGAAAAAGCAAAATGGTTAATAAAAATTAAAAAATTCGCTAACAATTTACCTGAGCATAGCGAAAATATAAATGAGAAATTAGATCTCATTTTTAAAGTTTACAACAACCAATATGCAAAATATAGTAAAATAGAGATGGCAAAGCTATGCATAGCTTTAGAACAAGATCCTAGTGGAGTTGGCTTTAATATTCTCTCAGAACACTCAATTTTTAAGGGGCAAGTAATATCAATTTTTAATCAAAACACCAAGTACCATGGAATAGAATATGTTTTAGATAAACTTCAAGGCGATGATATTAATAATGAAAGTATTCAAAGGCTCAAAGATGTATATAAAATTTATATCGATAAATATCAGCAAACGGTTAAAAAATACATTGTAAAAATATGTGAAAAAAATGTACTGAATGAGTTGGTAAGGGTTATAAAACTTATTGGAGACAGAATGGTTGAAAATGTGTTTGAAAAAAAAAATTGGGACGAAGAGGATAGAAAAAACTTGAGCGTACTTATTGCAAGCATATTTGCATTATGGACATTGCAAAATGCAGAGTATTATAATGAAATGGAAGGCATTGCAAATCAAGATTCTTACTTGCTGACACCTCATCCAAGTCAGGTTATATCTATTTTTCGCATGTTAGGAATTGGCTACATTGAACCTAAACAAGTTAAAGGTATTGCTGAAACTGTTAAAGGCTTTGTTTATAGCGAAAAACAATATGTCAGCAATGATAAACTTCAGAACAATTTAGTGCAAGTTGGAACAGGTGAAGGAAAGTCATTAATTTTGGCTGTTGTATCGTGTGTTTTGAGTCTAATTGGCTTTGATGTCAATTGTGCTTGCTACAGCGAATACTTAAGCACTCGAGACTACAAGTCATTTCTTCCATTGTTTACTTCATTAGATTTGACATTGCATATTAAATATGCTACTTTTAATGCAATATGCGAAGATGTTATCAATCAGAACTGTAATATTCGTAATCGCGTTGCTGACCTAGTCTCCAATAAAATCATTGAAACGGTTTTGTCGCACAAAAAATCAACAAGACCAATGATTTTGCTCATTGACGAAGTTGATGTGTTTTTTAACAAAGATTTTTACGGTAATTTATACACACCACTGGCACAAATTAAAAACCCATGCATTGCTGACCTTACCGGCTACATATGGTCTCATAGAAAAGAAAAACTAACTCTAAAACAAATACAATTAACATCAGAATATCAAACATGCTGCAAATATTTAAAAGAATGGGATTTTTTAGTCACAGAAGCTGTAAAAGATATGCTAGTTGATGTACAGGATTTCAAGGTAAAAATATACAGAGTTTACATATATATATATATATATATATATATATATATATATATATATATATATATATATATATATATATATATATATATATATATATATATATATATATATATATTTATATATATATATATATATATATATATATATATATATATATATATATATATATATATAATAATAATAATAATAATAATAATAATAATAAACAAACTATTTAAAAATTTAATAATAATAGACAAACTTTTTAAAAAAAATTTAAAATGAAAAGTATATACCATTTAAGAAAATCTACATACAAATAAGATAAGGTATAAAATACTTTAAATTACATTTAGATAACACTTATATAAGAGTAATGAGATCAGAAAAACTCGAAAATATTATCTATTGAGAAAATAACTTTTGTCATTTTGTTTTTGAAAGTAAAAAAATTGCAACTTTTTGGAAAAATCAAAATTTTTTAGAACTCTTTGGTTCCACATAAAAACTCCACGATATATAAGAGACCCTCCAACATTTGTATGCGAATAATGTTGATAAAAAAAAATTTCATTTCATAGATCATATTTGTTTCTGATCTTTATTGCATATAAATTTTAAAAAGATATAGGAGTTGAGTTTATTTTATATTTAAATATAAAGCAAAGAACGTTAAAAACATTTTGTTGGTATATATTAAAAATACTCATTTCGAATAAAAGTGATTTTGCATGAGTAAAACGATCTTTAAAGTTTATTAGTCGTACTAGATGCTTCTGTTGCCAATAAAGAGAATCTAGTTGCCATTTTTTAGCACTACCCCATGCAATATTTGATTAATTTAGATGACATTGAATAAGTGAGTAATATAGTTGAATTAATGCGTATTTACAAAACTTTTCGCTTTACATAATACTCCAACATTTTTTGAAACTTTGTTGCGCAAGGTTTCAATATGATTTTTCCATGTAAGACTTTCATTATTAAGAACACCAAGAAAAAGTATAACTTTTGATTGTTTTATTTGAATATTATATATATATATATATATATATATATATATATATATATATATATATATATATATATATATATATATATATATATATATATATATATATATATATATATATATATATATATATATATATATATATATATATATATATGAAGCATATAATTTGGCAAAAGATACTTTTTAGATTTTGGATGAAAAAAGGTCTATTTAGTTTTTTTATAATAATTGATAACTTATTTAACTTAAACTATTTTGAAATTTTAATTAGCTCTATGTTAATGTCATTAAATAGTGTTGTGATATTATTACTAGATAGAAAAAAGTTTGTGTCGTCAGCAAACATTACTGTTTTCAAGTTTGAGGCCTTATAAAGATTATTAATATAAATGAGTAAAAGAAGTGGTCCGAAAATAGACTCATGAGGGACAGCACATGTTATATCTAGTAAATTTGTAGTAGAGGATTCTTCAATTTGCACATACTGTTTACGATCGCTTAAATAGCTCTTTAGTAATTTTATTAAAATACCACAGACTCCATAATTTTTTAGTTTTTAATAATCTCTTGATCTCTCGTATCAAAGGCTTTTGATAGATCTATAAATACTGCAAGAGTAAATTGTAGTTTTTCAAATGAATCTGCAATATTTCTAGCCAGATGAAGCACTGCGTGTTAAGAGAAATTATTTTTTATAAACCCATATTGGGTTGTATTTAGTATTTTATTTTTAGAAAGATGATCCTTTCAAAAATCTTTGAAAAACCAAAAAGTACAGAAATCGAGCGATAATGATTATTCCTCCCCCTCCCCCCCCTCCTTTAAACTTCAGCTCTCTTTAAATGGTCAGGAAATACACCTTGTTTTATTGAATAACTATAGACCTGAAAGAGTATAGTTTTTATTATCTCGTAAGAACCGATTATAATGTTACCACTTATTTAATCTGGCCCTATCGCTTTATTGATTTTTAACATTTTGTAAGCACATTCAAACTCTATAATGAAAAGTTCAAAGTTATCAAGTATGGAAGATTGAACTCAGTTATTGTGTTAGTTATAATTGGAGTATTTTTTGCTAAACCTGGACCAATAATTATAAAAAAGTTATTTATTTGATTTACTATATCTTTAGGATAACATTAAATAAATTTTAATAAGTTGCATGTTTTAATTTTTTGATTGCAAGTAATTTCATTTAAAATTTGCCATGTGCTTTTAGCATTATTCTTAAACTTCTCTAATTTAAGCTTGAGTAGTATTTTGTTTCAAAGTTTTTTTTTTGACTTTCAAAAAGCTTTGCATAATTTTTATAATTTTTCTTATATTTATCTATTTTTGATTTTAAATATTTAATATATAAATTTTGTTTTGGAAGATAGAACTTTGTTTTAGAAGATGCAACTTTGGAGAATGTTCATAGAATGTTCAAAAAAATTAAGTTATAAAACACATTTGCTTCCGACGAAAAACTTATATGTTTCCAATGTATAAATGATAGTTGTTCATTGAATGATGTAATATTTACTTTACTGAAACAGCGTTTTATGATAACTTGTTTTTTATTTTTGGTAATTGTTCAATATCAGTATTTACTGAAAAGAAAATAAGAAAATAATCTGTGACATCATTTTTAATTAGCCCTTTTTTAAGAGATTCATTAAAAGTGTCTGTTGTCAAAATATTATCTATTAAAGATACTGACTTTATAGTTACTCTTGTCGGTTTATCGATAAGTGGTATTGCAACGTTTTCAAATAAATCATTGTAACAACTATTAATTTTCGATTTTACGTGATACTTTAATGCGTCTAAATTTTTGCAAGCAATTGTGAAATTTCTTTTTTAAATTATTTTGTAATACCATTAATTAAAAATGACTTGAAACTATTTATTTCACCAGATGGTGGGCGATAACAGCAACTTAAAAGTATATTTTTATTTATTTTTTTTGGATAAAATTTTAATTATTAAAATCTCTTTATCGGCATCAAAAATACTCATTTAAGGTCTATTTATAGAATGCATTCCTTCATTTACATAAAAAGTATCCACCGCCTTGTTTTTTTGGTTTTACGTGCTAAAGATATAGAATTAAAACATGGCAGGTGAAGATTAGAGTTAGATATAGTCTCATCAGAATTACACCAAATTTCTGTTAGACATATAACGTTAAAAATATTTAAAGTTTTCTCAATAACATTCTCAAAACTTTCAAAGTTGTTATTTAAACTTCTTATGTTAAAACGTATCACATGTAAGCAATCTTGCTCAAGAAATTCTTTTAGTTAATTGTTATAAAAATAAGAACAATTGTTTAACAAAGCACATGCTTTACTAAAATAAATTGAATCTGTTTCGTTGTTTATTACTTGGAAAAAGTCAAAAAAATTCAACTCAAAATTGTTTAAATGTTTTGAATCCATTAGATATAGAACTAAAAAATTTGCGGTAAGAATTAAAGCATAAGATGAATGTTAATTTAACATTCAAAATTAAAAATATCCTGTAAGTTATTAGGTATCAAGCAATAAAAAAGTGAAAAATAAAAAATGAATTATACTTGGCGATTCTTCGCGTCAACTATCGTTTTTGCCCATTCACGAATGATAAGTTTGTCGTAGGAGATAAACGCATACTTTCCTTGTTCTCTTTCTCTTAATATTTCATCTCTTAAATCTTTTCGTATTTGAACAGTTTCGTAACAGAAATTCCCGTTATTATAAATTCCTTTAAGCCTTATAGATCTTTTTATTATATCAGTCTTACTTTTATAGTTTAGGAGTTTTAGAATTATTGTTTTATTATTTTTTAGCATCTCTTGGTCCGGTTCAGTGTGCTTGTTCAAGTTTAACATCTTTTATATCAAGCGTCTCGTCAAATAGTTTTGAAACTTATAACTTACTTTCTTCCCAGTTTTCGTGTTCACTTTCTTTTATTCCATTTATACTTAGGTTATTCCTTTTCGATCGATCTTCTTTTTTTCTTAACATGTTTATTTTATTTACAGCGCTTTTATCTTTTACCTGACTACCCAGCAGGCACAATGACGTTGAAATAACGTTGAAACATCGTCGCAAACCGACCATATACCACGTTGAAACAACGTTGAAATTTGATTGAATTGGAAATAAAATCCGACGTCGAAACCTACGACGTTGAAACAACGTCGCTGATTACGTCGTTTCAACGTTGATCTAACGTCTTATCGACTATATATCAACCATATTTCAACTTTGAATAGGTGATATATTCGATTGATGCGTAGTTGATAAGACATTAGAACAACGTTGAAATAACGTAAACTCAACGTTGATTTTTGTTTTTTATTTTGGTTAAATCCAATTAACTAAAAAATTCTCAACTTTAATTGCAATAAAATAATACAATAAAAAAGCAATAATTTGCGCAGAGGATATTATATTTCACGTAAATTAATCAGATACAACTAAATTGCTTCAACGGACTTTATATACAATGCAAATAAAGTAAAAAGTTTGAAAAAAAAAGTTTTATTTATCAGTAATATATTTATCAATTTATCAATAATAAAGACAATAGTTCCAGAACAACTAGGAAAAAGTATGAATGTTATACATCGGGTGAATTGCCTTTTACGCGCCGATCACGACCATTTGATCTGTCGAGTGCGTATTTTAATAAAGTCATTATTCCTTTTCTTATTTCGGTAACTGTAGCAGTCACTTTAATTGACAAAACGCTCTCTATAAAAAAAGGTATTGCCTGAGTAATTTGCATCAAATACATCAACAAGTTAAAAATAAAATAGCATTAAAAAAACGAACTGTGATTCTTAAAAAATTTATAATTTTACACTTAACTTACAAGTAAATACCTAATGTTTGTTCCTTTAAACTTCTCTTTACCTTTACCGCCAGCCATATTAAATTTTGATTATAAACCGTTGGTCAACAGCCTGCATTATAAATTGTTATTATTATTACAGTTACATTAAAAATTGCTAAAACTAAGTAAAAATAGTATCAAACTTTTTATATTTACCAGTGTCATTTTCTTTAATATGACTGTAGAATAAACAACCAAGTTCACACAAATTATAATTCTAAAATAGAATTTAATGAGGAAAAAATTCCTTTAATTTTTATGTACTTTTGAAAAAAATTTTATAAAAATAATAATATTTTTATAAAAGTTCTAAAGACTCCTACAAAAATTGCTACAAAAGTTTTTTTTTCAAATATCATAAAGACTTTATAAAAAAATTTTTACACAAAGTAGAGAAATTAATCAATAAAAAGTTATGAAAAAAGCTAATAATAAAACTTTATTTTTAAACAAAAAGTTCAACATACTTTACAAGTTATGAGACACTTTGTCAGGTTAAAAGTTTGATTAAGGTTGCATGCTGTCATACACTAAATATAAAAAAAACAGAACTTTCATCATTTAAAAACTAAAAAAAAAACATCAGAACTTTTATCATTTAAAAACTAAAAGATAATCTGTTTTGTTATTTTAGGTGTATCAGTTAAAATATGCAATTTTCTTTTACACCTATTAAGTGTTCTTTTTGTATTAGTTGTTATTCTTAACCTGGCTTTGGAATGAGGTCGTATTATTTAGGTAAAACAATAAATAATATTGATGGTAAACTCACAGGAGCTCTTTCTCATGAATTAAATGATGTCGATGGTGAATGGCAGGAGCAGTTTTAACACCAATACTATCATTAGTAATGGAAACTTAAGAATTCACTATTGGCCTATCAGTAAGATTTGCAGCTAAAATATTTAAAGCAATAAAAATTCTTTCACCCATGTTCCCCAGGGCTGTCCTGAGGGGGGCAAAGGGGTGACTAGCCCCTGGCGATTTGTCATTCTTTGTTAGTTATTCTGGAAAGACAATCTGGTGATCAACTTTCTGGAGGAATATATTGGTTTCCTACTTATAATAAAAGTAAGTTTTAAATGTCTTTTCCAAAATACAAATTAATCTCAATGAAAAATTGCACAAACCACCAAGGTTTCTTACCAAACCGTAATGCAAGTAAGAAAAAGAATTGATACAGGGAAAGAGTTTGGTTCAAGGAGACCACCTTCTAAACGCAAGAAAACACCAAGAGCGGACAGTATAATCAGAAATATCTGCCTGTAAAACAGAAAAAAAGCTACTAAGCTTACCCATGAAGCTGTAATTGTTGTGTCAGACCGGACCATTTGTAGAAGGCTAAAAGAAGAGGGACTGATGTCCAGCCAAAAAAGTCAAAAAGTGACAAAAAAATTCAAAAATATTAAAAATAATGTCAAAAATCTTATATTTATGCAAGATGGTGCAACATGCCACACAATAAAAACTGTAATGGCTTAGTTGATGTATTGCTATGGTCAGACAATTCGCATGATCTTAACCCCATAGAAAACATTTGGGAAATAGTAAAGCAAAAGATTGGAAAAAAAAATGTTACTAATAAGCCAGATCTTATGGAAGAGATTATCAAGATCTGGCATAATAACCCAGAGTTGACAAAATCTATAAAAAATAAATTGCAAGCATGCCACAATGCAATGAAGCAGTTATTGCAAATAAAAGTGTTTTTGCAAAATATTTATACTTTATATATATTTTATATAATTTATCATAATAATCAATAAATATTCAAAATGTTCATCTTTATTTATTTATTTTTATCAAGTACAACTTTATAAATAAAAGAAAAAACTTTAAATTGCACCATTATTATATATATATATATATATATATATATATATATATATATATATATATATATATATATATATATATATATATATATATATATATATATATATATATATATATATATATATATATATATATATATATATATATATATATATATATATATATATATATAATATATTCATATAAGCACATGTATGTATATATACATACATATATATGTATATTTATTTATGTACATATATATGTATGTATATATAAAGTAAAAAATAAGGTTAAGTATGCGTTACAAATCAACATTTGTTATTTAAGGTTGTTCTTTAGCTAAAGGAAATACAAAAGTAAGAGAAAACAGTTACAAAAAAAATTATAATCAGACATAAAGAAAAAGATTTATTTTATGTCTGATTAGAATTCGTCAAACTTTTAAAAATATATGCTACACAGATTTTTAACACAAGTTTAAAACAAACTATAATAAAAAGATTAAAAAGATTTTTTATTTAAAACTACTTTTAAATAAAAAGCAAACCTTTGCACCATATTTATTTGTATTTGTCTTAACGGTTTTACCTCCAATTTTAGAAAGTTTGTTAACCTAAAGGTTTAAGAAAATAATTACACCACATTATTTTTAAAGTATATTTATAAAAAGTTACAAGTAGATTAACTTAGGCTAAGTTATTAATAAATACTTAATCAAAAAACAATAAAAAAAACTGCAAAAAGTCATGGTTTGAAACAACTCATCACTTCTGACCTCAACCAAGAATCATTTAAACTTTTATCATAATCATTAAATTACTGCTGCAAGTTCATTCATAGAATTTCAGAACTATTTGTCTTAATATTACTTTAATTACTGGAAAGAGTTTTTACTAACATCTCTTTCTAACAATAAAGATATATCAGAAAGACAAAAGAACCAAACATTAATTAATTTCTAAAAGCGTTGAAACACAAGAACAAAAAATTTATAAAATAAAACATTATTCATAAATTAAATAAAATGTATTAATTTAGCAACCAAAGAAATGTGTAAATCACTGAAGCATAGAAAAAAATGTTCAAAATCTTTTCTTCCTAAATCAACTTGCAGACAGACAATTAATACCTTGAGCTACAGTATGTGGAGTATGCATAAAAATTGTTTTCTGTTTCTTTTTTTTGCGTTACAGGAGTAAATATTTGCTTACTATTCTGTTGGTTATTATGTTTTCTCTTGCATAAGCATGGTAGTGGCTCCTATAAAAATTAATATCAAAATATAACTAATAATACTTGAATGAAGTATCTTTTGAAATAGTTACCGTTTTCTGAACCTGATTCTATCTGAGTATCATTAGTAGAGGCAAATTCAAATTTATTACATAACTCATGATCTAAGAATATTCATTCAATTTAAAAATGTTTTAAATTGAATGAATATTCTTAATTATATAATAAAGAATATATAATAAAGAATATATCTAAACACTGAAAACAACATATAAAGAATGAAAGCATGTTAAAAAAACAAGGAAAAAAAGTAACGACTTAAGGTTTATATTAAAAAAATTACATTATCTCCATGACATTGAACTTTGAGCAGCGTAAATCTGTATTAGTTAGATGCGGTTTATGCATTTCATTGAAACAATTTATTAAATTTAATGATGGCCAGCACAAAAAATTATCAATCGAATTTTCTCTCTTTATTTCTCTGTATTTTCTATCCAAACAGCTCGAATGAACATTTTGCATGCCCTACAATACTTTTTCAACTGGAAAAGTATAGTAGAAAATATAATAGAAAAAATACTTATATATTAAAAATTTGTTTATGTAAAATAGCTAACAGAAAAGTACAACTTTAAACTGCACGTTATGATACATTATACAGTTGCTAAAATTTGCTAAATTTTTATGTTGATCCTTCTACCAACCAATATCATGGACTAAAGGAGCATGCACAAAATCTTTTTTATACAACTTTAAAAGAAAAATCTTTAAAAATTTAATAAAAACTTTTTAATATAAAAAATATTCAAACTCTTTAAATCACATGGATTGGTAAAAAAGCTTGATAAACCATTATTTTGTAAAACATCATCCATTATATATATTTATACTATGTATGTATATATACATATATAGTGTATGTATATTATGTATATGCATATTATATATATATATATATATATATATATATATATATATATATATATATATATATATATATATATACATATATATATATATAAATATATATATATATATATATATATATATATATATATATATATATATATATATATATATATATATGTATACATATATATAATATGCATATATAATATATACATACACTATATATGTATATATATACATACATAATATAAATATATATACTATATATATATATATATATATATATATATATATATAGTATATATATATATATATATATATATATATATATATATATATATATATATATATATATATTATATAAATAAGAAAAACATATATATATATATATTTTATATTTATATAATATATCAAGTAGTCTCTACTTGTAATCCACACTCATGAAATAATACGGTCATAAAGAAATATCCATATTTACCTAACTAACTGCATCACAAGTTAAGCCATGTATTATTGTTAAATTGTCAAATTCAAAACCTTATAAAAAGGCAACAGATGACCTAATTTATTAGCATGTGTGACTTTACTTGTTTTTATTGGGCTAATAAGTAACTTGTTGAGTCTTTACTTGTTATTTGTTAAGTTGATAAAAAAATTTTAAGTCACGCATGCGTATTTTAGTTCTCATATTGCAATTACGAACGATCGAACTCGTAATATAGACGTTGAATTAACGTGGAATCAACGTCGATTTTATTTAATAGTTTTAAACAAATTTTTCAACGTTGATACAACGTTGATTTTTGGTTATACGACGTCGCGACTAAAAATCAACTGTAAATCAACGTCGAAATAACGTCGTGTGCCCGCTGGGTACTTACTTTCTTTGTTTACTCTCTTACTTTTTCAAATTTAGATGCGATTATTTCATAATTTACATTGACAAATTAATATCATTTAACTTAATTTCTAAAGACGATATCTTTTGATTCGATAATTCTAAAGCTTTTGTAATATTAACAATTTTTGTTGAACTGTTCATAAAATCTGTTGCAAGTTTGTTAAATCTTTCGGTAATAATTTTTAAAATAGCAGTCGTAATTGCAATAAAACTTTTTTCTAATTCTTTTAATAGTATTTATGACTTTCTTCAACTATAGTGTTTTTTTGTTTTTCCAAAGGTAAGTTAATTAATTGTTCTATACTTTCCATTGTAAGATCCATTTTTAAATTTATTTATTTGATATATAGACTAATTATTTTACTATTTTCTCTATCCTGAAGAATTTCTTAAATGCCGACCTTTGACTTCTGAGGTACAGATTTATATTTTAGCATATTTTTCTTATCTTATAAATAAACTTTAAAACTTTTGATTTGAAATCGAAAATGTTAACTTTATTTCTTTTCAACCTTATTTTATAAACGTAATTTATGTATAATTATATGTAAAAATTGCTAAGAAACATGGTATAACACAGTAACTCTATATAATAGTAACTTCATGTTCTCAGTGTCAATATATTTTCGAAAAGACGAGATATTCGGTTAGTTTCTTAAATGACGTATAAATAGATGGACGTTTATCTCATTGTGTTATAGATCTGAGGCGCCGCAAGTAAACAAAAACCTATGAGAGCTATAAATTTTAGCGTCATCTTTCTAAATAATTTTAAAAAATAAACCGACGTTTTCCCAATATTTTCACTTTTCTAACTACTTTTTTAATAAATGCAATAAAACAATAAGCCATAAAACTCTTACTTTTTTTTTAAATTGATGCATTTTAGTTAATCAAAAATAGCTCATCTGTTTTTATAATGTCAGATTTGATATAGCTCAGTAAAATTAGTGAAAAAAGTTCATTTTATCCAAAAAAAACTTAGAAACAAGCTGAAAATTGCTGGAAATATTCAGCATGCACTCCTTTATAATTTTGGATAATTACGGCCAAATTCAGACTGGTGCTTTATCTGAAATCCAAGAAAATGTTTAAAAAAGTATTTGTAATATATCAGCCTGAAGATGAATAAGAAATATGATTCTTGTATCTAGCATTATGTTTTTGAGGTCAAATTCAATTTTCGACATTTTTTCTTTTTGAGCTAAAGATCTAAAACATGGCGGTTAAAAAATTTCTTAAATTATTACACATTTTACGCATACGTTTTTTAATACACTTACAATGTTGTGAGTGTCAGCTTATATTCATTTGAAATTAGAAGTTATTTGTTATATGGTTATGGTATACTTGTTTTATACAGAAATTAATGCAGAAGATTTAAAGTAGCAATTTTTAACTGTTTAATGAGTTAGGTTTGTTCTCTGATGAACTCAACGTTTCTGAACTGAAATTTAAACTAAGGTAATTTATAAATAATCATACTATTGACAATTCTGAAGAATTTATTCTTGTTTGCTAGTAACACTAAAGAAACTAATTCTCTTTCAACTATTATATTTCTCACCATCTGACTGCAGAGTCGGACTGGCTTAAAATAAAGGCGCGAGAATTTTTGTCATGGCAACCCACCTCATCTTATGTTTCATTTATTTATTGTTATTTTATGTATAAAAAACTTTTTAATCTTCTCAACCTAAATATTGATAAAAAACAAATATTTTTAAAACACTGCTGTAAGTTGAAGCCTTTAAATAGTAGACACAATTGCTATTCACTATTGAATAGTATAGTAACTTTTTCATCGTTTGACTAGTCAATGCCAAAACATCAATGATTGCATATTTATTAATTTTTGCATGATGATCGTTTTCACAAGATATTAACATGAATGATTTAAGTGGCTCATTAAATTCCTTAATCTTTTCAAAGTATATTTTATTTTGAGAATGAGCTTTCACAAGCAACTTGTGATGAGGATAATGTTAGCACAAATTTGTATACCAGAAAAAAATTTATATACGCAAGATAATGCAAATTGAACTTAAGATGTACAAAATAACAACAAACTATACACTTTTTCCAAAATTTGCATTAATTTCTGTGGCTGTTGCTGTTTGCTCCAGCTGGGATTCTAAAGAGAGTTTCACATTCTACGTATTTAGATTGTCAGATGATGTCCGAGACAAAGTTAGATACTTCCGTGTCAATAAGCAAAATAAATTCTTATCTTCAAGAGACGTTTCAAAACAATTCCTTGCTTAGTACAACTATTCCGTTTAAAGCTGGTCTATTGTTACACAGGCATCAAATTTTCTGAGCAACCCACTAAGGTGCTGCAATGCATCACAAGGTATTTTTTCAAAAATATCTGCAAAATTTCTTGGATCTTCATAAAATAAATCAGCATGCTCAGATAAGCTCTGTTTTAATCTACAAATTTTTTAAATCATGACAATGTTTTTCATCACATTGTTGTGAACATTGACACGAAAATTATCTTTTGCACTTTCAAGTAGTTTGTTGGCTTTAATTTTTTTCTCTTTCAATCCAGTCTGAATTTCAAATCCATATTTTTGTATTATATCCATTTCAGTTGTTTGCAAATATTTAAATGATGGCGTTGTGTTCTCAAACACTTTCAACAACATTTTTCCCTTCAAAATAAGTTTAAAAATTGTCAAAGAACCTAAATGAGTTTTTGTTCTATAACGGACATCATTATTAAATTTGATTAATGTAGAAATATTTTAAAATATTTGTAATATTTTAAAATGTTTCTACATTAATCAAATTTAATAATGCACAAAAAAGTCAATGCACAAAAAATCAATAATATGTTTCTTGATCGGAGATTTTGATAAAGAATTTTCTAAATATCTTTGTAAGAGCTCTATCTTTCGCATTAGGTAACAACTTTATTTACTTTTTTAGTAAAGTCTCCCATTTTTAAAGTTAGGACCTGCACATAACATTATACATGTGTTTGACCCGGGGAGACTATTTAACCAAGAGGTTTAACAGACAGTGTACTTTCTCGTTGGATTCTCGGTATGCCCGAATGTTCAACTGTTGCAACAGGTATTGAAGATTTTTGCGGTATCACTTTTAAAT